GCGTGCTGCAGTCCTCGCCGGCGTACCCCGGCCAGCACACGCAGCGGCCGTCCACGCAGCGCCCACCATCGCCACAGTCCCACCGGCAGCTCCGCGAGCCGCAGTCCTCGCCCGTGTAGCCGGGGTCGCACACGCAGCGGCCGTCCTCGCAGCGGCCCTTCTGGCTGCAGCCCCGGGGGCAGCTCCTCACGCCGCAGTCCTCGCCGGAGTAGCCGGGGTTGCACACGCAACGCCCGTTCTCGCAGCGGCCCCTCTGCCTGCAGCCCCGAGGGCAGGCGCGCACGCTGCAGTCGTCACCTGAGAAGCCCGCCCGGCACACGCACACGCCCTGCACGCAGCGCCCGCGGCCGTGACAGTCCGCGGGGCAGGAGGGCCAGCCACAGCTGGGGCCCGCGTAGCCAGGGAAGCACACGCAGCGACCATCCACGCAGCGACCCTGATCGTTGCAGTCGTCCGGACAGGAACCGGAGGGCGGGGAGGAGGGGAGCGACTCCGCGTCCGTGGGATCTGAGCAGGTGGGGCCACCCCAGCCTGGCTCGCAGGAGCAGGCGCAGCGGCTGAGGTCAAACTTGCCGTGCAGACTGCAGAGGCTGCGGACGTCTGTCTGGCCTGCAGTAAGAGGGGAGCCCAGCTTCAGCTTCTCTGGAGGGGAGGCTGAGCCTGCCTGCTCTCTGAATCAGCCCCCTCAGCACGTCCACACAGGCCATCTTAGCTTCCAGTGCTCCTTACCAACCAATGTGACCTCCCAGGATTCTAGTACATGTTTGGGTGGGGAGTGGGGAGCAGCGGCCAGGGGGATCCTCTCGGAGTTGTGCCCCGCACAACACTCACCACCCACTAGCTAGTGTGAGGAAGGGGTGCACCCACTAGCTACTGTGAGGAAGGGGTGTGTTTTTCTAATCCATACCCAGGTTTTTTAAGGATTAGTGATGCCTGCCCAGCTGTTCCACCTTCTTTGCCCCTACCCCTCCTGTGGCTACCTGGGACCACCTGCTCACCTGTGCCAGCCTGGGCAGCAGCAGGACAACACCCCCCATTGCACTGTTCCTTGAGCCCTTTCACCAGCTCCTCCAGGATCTCCAGCCGGACCCTCAGGGCCTGCACCTCTGAAGCAGGCACAGGGGGCTCAGTGCCAGGGGGACAGCCACAGCCAGCTGAAGAGGGCAGGTTAATGCGGTGGGTGAACACCACCTGCTTCTCCCCCCCTTCCACGGTGTGCTCGTAAAGTTGAGAAGAGGGGCTTCCCTCTCCCGGCTCTGCTGCGCGGCCCCCTGGCTGGGGAGGAGGCCGAGGGGCTGGGCGAGTCACATTGAACCTCGGAGAGAAGGGGCCTGCTCTGACTGTGCCCAGCAATACCAGGAGGGCCAGCTTGGAGGTCAGTGAACCCTGGGCGGGCATCCTTCAGGAGTCTGCAGGGAGAGAGGACACATGTGAGCACAGCTCCTGAGACAAGGAAATAAAATAGGACCCTCCGCCTCGTCCTTCCCCACAGCCGGCCTTACCACCCTCAACCAACCTACCCAACTCGCATGTGTGTAACAATCCACACTCAGCCCAACCCAAAGGCATATCCTGTTGGGCAGAGTTAGCCTCTCCCTCGCTCTCTGATGTCATGTGGTTATTTGCCCTGATCCGCCTTTCACCAAATCCATCTTCTCTTTGTTCCAAGGCGCTATAAGGGTCCATGAGCCCAAGGGTCTTTGCAGTGAATATTGCCTTTGTCAGGGATGCCCCTCACTCACCTGTGGAAGGTGGGCTCCTGCTTACTCCGATCTTAATTCATGTGCCGAGGAGGCCCACAGGTGTTGCTTTATGCCTGGAGCGCTCTTGTGCTATTACTCTATCATAATATCCCTCATGCCCTTTGCAGCATTTACTGATGCCCAAATCATCCGTTTGTTACTATTCTATCTGCCTGCGCTGGCTCATGGGGCCTGCCCACCTGTTTATGCCGAATGGGTTGGTTGCTGAACATCTCAGGCCACCCCTTCTGCCAGCACCTGGGCCCTGCTCCTATTGTCTTCTCAGAATCCTTGTGGTGTACACTATCCTCTGTGACTCTCTCTCTCGTTCTCTGAGGGTGAGGGTATATCCTTCCCATCAGCTTCTGTATGAGCTCAAATAGCTCCCATCTGAACAACAACTCCTCTTTCTCAGAACTTACATTGCCCCAAATCAAAACGTATCATAAAGATGCAACGATAGTCAGGTAGAACAGAAGGGTCCAGAAACAGACCAGACGTGTGCAGCCCCCTGGTTAATGGCCAGGCGGCACTGCAAATGGATAGGCTTTTGATTAACGGTACTGAGCAAACTGTAGCTCTACATGGGAAAAAAATCGATCCTCTATCTCATGTCCATATACTGAAATTTATTTGAGATGAATAGAACGGACCTAACTGTGAAAGACAAAGCAATATCTTTCAGAACAATATCTTACAGATGAAAATATAGGAGAAAATCTTTATGACCTTGGGGTAAGGGAAGATTTCTTAAAACCTAACAATGGAAGATGTAGCCATAAAATATTTCACATATGTTCAAATGGGAACTATTTGAGCTTACACAGAAGCTGATAGAAAAACATAACTTGAGAATGAGGGTGAGAGAGAGAGAGACAGAGAATAATCTACATAAACGGTGCCCTCCCTGGTGGTGCAATGGGTTAAAGCACAGAGTTATGATGCTATCTGCAGCCACTACAGCTCAAGCTTGATCCCTGGGCAGGGGGGTGACCCACATGTACCAGCAGACCTCTCCTGTCTCACCTGCTGCTCCTCTCAGCAGTGTATTTCAGTAGATCTGCCTGTCCTGCTCCCCACTCTGTCTCTGCTGAATCCTCTCACTGCCCACCCCTGCATCTTTGGCCTGCACCCCAGTTCTTGTGTATATAAATAAATCTTTAAAAAAAAAAAACTTAACCATAAAGATCCCCCCTGTTGGCTCATGTATTAAAATCTCAGCACTATGAAGCTATCGTCAGCCACTGCAGCATGAGTTTCATCCCTGACCAGGGAGCTGACCCACATGGCCTAGCAGAATTCTCCTGTCTCCCCCGCTGCTCCTTCAGCAGTGTAGTTCATCAGTCTGCCTGTTCTGCTCTCTACACTGTCTGTGGTGAATCCTCTCACACAACCCCACCTGTGGCATGTACCCCAGTTCTTATACGGATAACTAAATAAAAATTAAAAAAAGACATTGTTCAGGTAATGAGAAGGCAAGCTACACATACACACACACCTACACACACGTATATGTGCATATACACACATGTCTCACATATAGAGGAGTTATGTGAGATACATATATGTATATATGCATGTATCTATGGGGAGAGAGGAGAAGTGAGAGGGGAAGAGGAGGAGGAGAGGATTAAAATCTAAAATAAAGAAATCCTTCGAGACAAATCAACAGACACAATGCAGGCAGACCATTTTTTTTAATTGGCAAAAGGCTTAAAAAGATATTCCAGAAAAGACTATATGCAAAGATCCAATAAACACATGGAAAAATGTATAACATCACTAGTCATTAAGAAGATGAAAATTAGGGTCTTTCCTGGTGGTGCAATGGGTTAAAACAGCACTAGGCAGCAATCCGCAGCACTGCAGCAGGTCACAAGTTTGATTCTTCACCAGGGAGGTGACCCACATGGCATGGCAGGCCTCTCCTGACCTGCCCGATGCTCCCCATTCTGTCCCTGGTGAATCCTCTCACTGCCCACCTCTGGCCTGTACCCCAGTTGTTGTGTGTGCATAAATAAATAAATTTAAAAAGAAAATGCAAATTAATCACAATAAGATACCATCAAATATCCACCACAATGGCTAAAGTGACAGGGGCTGTTATTGTTCCATACTGACCAGAAAGTGAAACAGCTAAAACTCTCATCTACTGAACGCAGGAGTATAAGTTGGTGCAATCACTTTGGAAAATTGTGGCAGTGTCTACTAAAGCATATAGCCTGTAACCTGGCAATTTTGCTTCTTCGTAAATAATCAACAGCAATGCCTATATATGTCCTGCAAAGACATGTTTGTGAGATTTTGTCATATTACTCAAAACTGGAAATAACTCAAATGCTCATTAATAGTAGAATAGATCCATAAATCCTGAAAGTCTTACAATGGAATACTACCTGCTAAAGAAAAACACCCTTTTGTTACATGCAAAACATGGACAGATTTCACACACATAATGCTAAAAAAAAGACAACAGAACCAAAAGGAAAACATTCCCAGTGGTGCTATATACATAACATTCAAAGACAGTCAAAGCCAATCTTAGCTGGTAGAAGACAGGAGATAGTGTTGACTGGCAGGAGTCATAAGGGCAATTTTTATACCCAATCTGGGTGGTGGTTAAAGAGATACACACATACCCCAAAATTAAGCTTAAGATTTAAGCATTCTACCCTATGTTTATACCTTTTTTTTTTTTTTAAGATTTATGTACTCATACATACAAAACTGGGGTACTTGCCGAATGTGCAGGGGTCGGTGAGAGGATTCACCAGAGACAGAGGGGGAGCGGAACAGGCAGATGGACGAAGCACACTGCTGAGGGGAGCAGGGGGCGGGTCAGGAGAGGCCTGTCCTTATGTGCATCACCTCCCTGCCTGAGGATCAAACTCATGCTGAAGCAACTGCGGCTAACTGCATAGTGCTGTACTTTAACCTGTTACACCACGAGGGAGGGCCCTGAAATTTATACTTTTAAAATACACATACTAGGGTCTCCCTCATGGCACAAGGAGTTAAAGTGCAGCACTATGAAACTATCAACAGCCACTGCAGCATAAGGGAGCTGACCCACATGGCACAGCAGACCTCTCCTGTCTCGCCAGCTGCTCCCCTCAGCAGTGTATTTCATTCCATCTGCCTGTTCTGCTTCCTAATCTGACTTTGGTAAATTCTCTTATCCCCTGCACCTCTGGCCTTTATCCCAGTTTTTGTATACATGAATGAATAAATCCTTTAAAAAGTAAATAAAATACATAAACCTTCCCTAATTTCTCTGGCAACCACACATCTCTCCAATGCTTCAAAACCACAGTGGTCAAGAGTTTTATCTGGGGCCCTCCCTGGTGGTGCAGGGATTAAAGTCTTAGCGCTATGACGCTATCCACAGCTACTGCAGCATGAATTTGATTTCCGGCCAGTAAGCTAAACCACATGGCTCAGCAGACCTCTCTTGTCTCACCCGCTGTTCCCCTCAGTAGTGTATTTCAATAGATCCACCTGTTCTGCTCCCCACACTGTCTCTGGTGAATCCTCTGGTCTACATCCCAATTCTTGTATGTATAAATAAAAAAATAAATAAATCTTGGGCCTCCCTGGTGGCACAAGGGATTAAAGTGCAGCACTATGAAGCTATCCACAGCCACTGTGTATGAGTTCAATTCCCAACCAGGGAGCTGATCCACACGGTGCGCCCCCTGCTCCCCTCAGCAGTGTATTTCAGTTCCTCTGCCTGTTCTGCTCCCCACTCTGTCTCTGGTGAATCCTCTCAACCCCCTACACCTCTGCCCTGTACCCCAGTTCTTGTATGCATAAATAAATAAATCTTCAAAAAATTATCTTTTTGTGCTGTGTCCATTTCCCCAATCTCAGGCATGTCTTCTTCATGCCCATTTAGCTTCCCCCTGCCCCTTTCAACCCACCAAATAACCCTCCCTAAGGTCTCCCAGGGATCTCAGTGCCACAGAATTTAAGAGCTATTTGTCTTTGCCTTTCTTTATCATTCAGAATCACTGGACACTGTTGTTCACATCTTCCATTTAAATGCATCCTATACCTGTGCTATTGATATGATATCCTGGAGAGACACGAGGCTCTTAGAGACTTGGCAGACGGCTAGAGTGGCCAAGGAAATGACTTTCACTCAGTAATTTCTCAAAGGTCCCAGTTTCCCTGGCAATGGGCAGGCGCAATACAGACCCACTGCCCTGGTCATTCACCTCAGTACCTTCATCCAGACCCACAATACTAATTTCCAAATGACACCCCAGATTCAGCATGCATGAAACTTAACTACTGATCATCTTTCATCTTTCTAGTACCCCCACTCTCTGTTCTTTATTGCAGCTCATGGCCTTACATTCACCCAGCGCGACGAGCTCAAAACGTAACAGCTCATTCACCACTGCCACCTTTGTCAATCACATTCACCAATATTTTCTTGTTAACATATCCTTTCAACCATCATAGGCCAAGCTACCATCTATCATTTTCTTGACAGATGCAGTTGCCTCCTAGCTGGTCCCTCTGCTACCGCGCTTCCTCTTACAGTCTCATAAAGGTAACGGGTGTCCCTCTCCCTCTAAAAGCCCCTCCGTGTCTCCCTTCTGAATTCTCCTGGAACTGACAAATCACCTGGTCTCTCCTGTCCACTCCCACCTCCTCTCCCTCCCTTGCTCCATGCCAGTCCAACTGGCCTTCTTTAAAGCCCTTCGCCCTCTTCCCAATCCCCCTAAAAACCTGTCAGGGTCTCCCTTCTGAATTCTCTTGGAAAACTGACAAAACCTTTTTATATGCTGTTCCCGCTATGTGGAACACCCTTCCCTGTTCCCTTGGCTCCGCTCCTCACCCTTCAGGTCTTGGCCTGCATCACTTCCTCAGGAAGCGCTCCTGACCAGTCACATCCCCCTATCCTGCGATGCCACAGTACAATGTAGCTCGTTCCTTTGCATCGTATATACACTGGTGGGCATTTTTCATTCCTGTCTTGCCCACACTCAGTCTTGCCAGCTAGAGTGAGTCTAAGTTCTATGGGAGCCGCAGGGCACTATATTCCCCGCTTGGCTGTTGTGCCCTTGTATCGAGCACATAGTAGGTGCTTAACAAATGTGTGCTGGCTGTATGAGTGAATGAAAGTTTCAAGCTTAGGCCAGGACTGAGCTTCCATCACGACTAGAAGCAAGGGCAAGATCAAGGTCAGGGCTAGGACCACGGACAGTGTCTGGGGCTGGATGCCGGCTAGACTCAGTAGCCGGGGCAGCAGCGGAGCCAGCGGCAGGCCAGCGCATGGGTCCTCGCAGGGTCAGATGGCACAAGCACTTTGGAAAACTGTTCTGCAGAATCTACTAAATCTACATATGCAAACCCTAAGTGTCAACTCAGCCCAAGGGGACCACTCACAAAAGCCACAGTAGAATAGATTGCATCCAGGTGGCTTGTTCAGCAGTGGCATGAAATAAAACAATGCACTTGAACTACACGCATATGCAGTCACATGACAGATCCTGCTGATATGGGGTTGAGCCAAAGAAGCCAGACACAAAAGAGAACATGCTGTGAAGTTCTATTTATATGAAGTGTGAGGAGAAATGATGTTAATCTGCAGTGTTACAAGTCAGAATGTGGTGCTCTTGGAAGTAGTGACCAGAGGAGGATGGGGATATTCTGGGGCGCTCAGAATATTCTGTTTCTGGATGTGGGTACTGGTTACACAATTGTGTTGTGATGGAATCCATCAAGGCAAGGACTGGGGAGCATAGGCAGAGGAAAAACGGGGTGCTCAGTGTAAGCCAGGAAAGAGGTTACACTAAACAAAGGAGTGGGGGTGTGGGTGAGCCAGGCGTGGCTTCAGGTGAAGGGTTGAGGAGAGAGGTCAGCAGATGGAGCTCTTCCAGAGGCTGGACAGGAGAGGGAAGGCTGACAATGAGAAGAGGCCTCCCCTCCCCCCCCCCCCCCCCGCACATTTCCTGACTCTCCTAAACTTCCCCTATGAGTCAGAGAAATGGGAGTTTTCAGGGCTACCAGACACCACACCCCTCTGCCAACCCACAATACAGGCAGCGATAACAGGGACAGTGCTTTTCCACCCTGTGAGGTACCTTGCTGAGGGAAGCCCAGGCAGAGAGGCTTGGCGTGCAGACAGATGCTTTTCCTGGACCCTCTGCCTTCCTCTTATCTTGGGGTCTCAGGTAGGCTCTGATCTACCTTCAAATCCTCTTACCCCATGTCCAGGGATTTGCAAATCACAGTGTGCATGCACGCACCCACACATGGACACATACGGATATACCCATGTGTGCTCATCCACAAATACAAGTGTAACAGCCTTGTACACACACACAGACAAGCCTGTGTCTTTGCAGTTATGCACATGCAAGCAGGAGCACAACCTCCCCTTCCCGTTCCCTCTGCACCCCATCGTTGGGGCATGTCTAAGACAGCTATTTCTCATCAACACAGAAGGCAGCCACGCCAAAGAAACTAGTTGGAGTAAGGGGAGCTGAACAGAAGGCCCTGTGCCGGGAGTAGCAGAGGCTACACGGTGTCTCCACCTGTGGAGATATCTAGGATTTGTCCAGTTGTCCAGAACCTTCTCCACATGTGGATCCTGAATTTTTCCCCATGTGGTGGGGGAGAAAAATCTCTGCAGTGCAAAGGAGCAAAGCTGGTGGAGAGGAGAGGAGAGGAGAGGAGAGAAGAGAGGAGAGGAGAGGCCCCCAAGGGTCTCACCTCCAGAGCCCCCATACTGACGCCCCTATCGTGCCCTATCACAACCCACTTCCAACACTTGGAGGAGTTCTACTCTTCTCAGCACTAGGGGAGCAAGGAACTTGGTGTCTCTCATGTTTCCCTCTCACCCCCCCACTCCCCACTATGTCTGGATGCCTTTCTATTGGGGGGTGCGGCCCCACCCCTTGGCATCCTCCCCACAGTTGAAGGGCTGGCAGGGTTGGGGGGCATTTTCCAAGCTGTGACTCAGCTTGCTGGGTATTCCTGTGGAGGCCAACTTTGACACTTTGCTCATCAGGGACGGTAGGTCCCAAGTGGTGAGGAGAGGGGCTGGCTTCCATGAGGGATATTCCAGGGATGGGGGGTGGGGGGGTTGATCCCACACCTTTGTTTCCCTCTGCCTCTCATTCCACCCTCCCCCAGCTGAATCTGGAAATGAGGGGTGAAGTTAGGAGGATTCCAGGGATGTAAGAGGAAGGAGGGAGATGAGGCAGTCTCAGCTATTGGGTGGGAACCAGGTGGCAAGGAGATGCCAAAGAGGAGAAAGTTGGGGGATCTAGACTCCGCCCCCCACCCTTTTCTGAGAAATGGGTCAGGTGAATGGAAAAATTAAGAGGAAGGATTTCGAGGGCCCCCCGGTGGGAAAGGGCCAGGGGGCAGTGGGAGACAGGAAGGCAGATCTGGTCCTGCTCTGAGAGGCCAGGACGCAGGGGAAGGAAATTGAAGAAATGAGGTGCTGGGACCCCAGGGGTTTGAAGGCAGGGCCAGGGGAAGTTTGGACGGAGCCCGGATCCGGGAAGTGGGCGGGGACTGGAAGCCGGCAGCTGTGGTGTTTCCGAGTTGTTTCCCAGTAGTTTCTCTCAGTTCCATTTCCAGTTGTTTCCGAGCCATTAAATTCTTTCCAGTCGAGATAAGGGGCCCGCCCACCCCACCCGGGGTGTGTCACGTGTATTGGGGGGGTGTTCGGATGGACAGAAGCAGGGGGAGCCTCGAAGGGGGACGGAGTGAAGATGGAGCTCCTGTGACCCGGGAGGCATCTGCCTCCAGTCATCCCGGCCCTTCTGAACCGTGAGTCATGGGGGCAGAGCTCTCCGCCCGAGAACAAGGTCTAGGATCCTCTCCCGGACTCTGCGCCCTTCTCAGACCCCAGTCCCGACTCAGTCTCACCATAGCCCTTCTCAAAGCTGGAGACCGCAAGCCCCTCTCGCAGGTTCTGCAACCCTTGTCAGCTGAGTCCCCATCTAGGTGCCCAAAGCAGCTCACTTGGACACCACCTGGCGCTCTGGTTCAGCCAGAGAACACGGGGCTCCCCAGCATGCTCTCCCGAGGTGCGGTAGCCCGCCAGCGCAGCCTAGCCCCAGCCTCGAAGTCTCAGCACCTCGGAACCCCGAGCGCCACCTCACCTATAACCACTGCCACCTGACCCCATTCTCTAGACGCCCCCATCCTCACACCCACCCCACCTCACAGCACTGACCCTTCTTCCCGGATGCACCCTCAGCAGGGAGTCTGGTCTCTGAGCATGCCCCTACTTCCTCTGCTCCAACAGAAAGTCCTGCAAGCGCTGGGACTTTCTCTGAGAGCTCTCCTGCCACACCTCTCTGCCTGGGGTTCAGGGAGAGGCAAACGCCCCACCTCTCCCGGACCTTCCTAACTTCTCCCAGAACTAAGTTCCTTACCTGGGCAAAGCGTGGCTGCAGCAACTCTGCACCTGCTTTGTCCCCGACCTCTGGAGGGGCCTTTTCAGGGCCAGGCAGGGCAGGGCAGGGCGGACTCCCCTTGCAGCCCTGGGCTCCCCGGAGGTCCCCTTGCTTGCTCCCTGCAGCAGTGGATCACTGAGCTGAGACTCAGACTGACTGTCGACTGTCGGTCTTAGAGCGACAGTGAGGAGGAGGGAGCCCGAGCGAGCAGGGGGAGGAGAAGGGGAGGACCGGCGTGAGGTCAGGGAGGGGAGAGGAGATAGGGCAGGTCTCCCCACCCCTCCGCCCCTCCCAACAACACAGCACGTACCTCCCCTCCTCTCCTCCTGCCTCTCCCCTGCCCCCTCCCAGTCTGGAAACGCTGAATCCCACAGACACTCATCTCCCCCCTCCATGGCCCCTGTCCTACCTCCCAGACCGTTCCCCAGCCCATTCTCACTCATCCTCTCCATCCCAATTTTTGACACCCCCACCCCTCACCGTTTCTCCTTGCTGCCCACCATCGGCCACCTGTTGCTCCTGCTTCCTAACTTGTCTTCTTCCCACCAACACCCTTCCCCAGGCAGTGCCTCTCATGCCTCCTCTGACCTCCCTCCCACACCTTCCAGCTGAGCTAGTCCCACCTGTCTTGTGCCCAGCACCCCTCACTTGTCCCCCCACCAATTCTCTCCTCGAAGTGGTGGGGGGAGGGTGCACAGAAGGAAAGAAACCTCCCCCCCAGCCTGAACCCCTCTCCTGCAGTGGGCATTTTCCCTGTCCCCACCTGCACCCCACCCAGTCCCCATGCCTCTTCCTCACCCCTCTTCCTGGCTTGCCCGGTCCCAGCGCTGCTCTCTCTGCTCTCTCAGGCCCAGCCCAGAGCCCATCCCCAGCTGGGGATTGCTGCTGCCTTTCCCTTCTCCCACCTCAGCAAATTCCTTGAGAAGTGGCAGAGCAGCTTGGGCACTGGCTGGGCCAGCGCTGGACTGAGCAGGACGTGTAAGGCTCGGAAGGAAGCTGGCTTCAGCAGGGACAGGGAAGGGAAGGTGCAGTCAGGAGGAATGTTTCACGTGGAGAAAACAGGAGGCAGCTATGGAATGGGGCAAGAATAATGATGAAGTGGCGAGTGGGAGGGGGCTCATGACTGGGGACTCGGGGAGCGAGGGCAGGGGTAGGGGTGGTGGGGATCAAGGGAAAGGTTACTTTGAGCTCAGGAAGACTGACTGAGGTGACACACGCCCACGCAGGTGGCTGGCTGTTTCCCCACGTGTTGCTGCTCTGGCCAGGGGTAGAAAAGGAGACTGACTTTTAACTACAGCAACTCAAGGGGGCCCGCACCCCAGGTTTCACAGGGAGGAGAGTTCTTGCCAGCTTGCTACAACCTCACCACCGAGGAGTAGCTTGGTCAAGTCTCAGGAGCCTGTGTGTCTGCTTTTGCTACTGGGTTGGGGCACAGGTGTCTGCTCCCCAGGTCGAGCCCCCTTGCAGGTATGTGGTGCTCCTGGGTCACTGTGCAGCCTGGTGAGCAGCTGTGCCAGACACCGGCTCACCCCGTGTCCCGGGCCTGCAGGGACCCTGGGCTGCAGGGACCCTGGCGTGGGTGTCTGTGTGCCTGGCTGTGTGCGCAGCTGCTTTTTTCCTGGCTTTGATGAGGAGGATGAAGTCAGCATCTTGGACAGAGCTGGGTTCAGCTTCCTTCCTCTGCCTTGGCCTGAAGCCCTTAGAGCCTGGAATAGGTAAGAGGTTTCCCCCAGTCTCTCCGTGTGGGTTGGGAGAAAGCAGATGAAAGGTTGAGGAAGGGCCTGAAGCAGCCTTATGTGGGTCATAGGCTACACACAGGATGGATTTTCTCGCCCCAGACTCCAGTAACCGTGTCTGTGTCCTAGCCATTGTCTTCTTGCGCTCTGTATCTTGGTTTTACTATTTAGGAAGTGGAGGTACCATAAATGGACTTGCCCAGGGCCCTCCCTGGTGGCACAAGGGGTTAAAACACAGCACTGTGAAACTATCTGCAGCCAGAGTTGGATCCCCGGCCAGGGAGTGACCCACATGGCACAGCAGACCTCTCCTGTCTCACCCACTGCTCCCCTTAGCAGAGTACTTGGTAGATCTGCCTGTTCTGTTCCCCACTCTGTCTCTGGTGAATCCTCTCACCCCCCGCACTTCTGTCCTGTACCCCAGTTTTTACGTGCATAAACATATAAATCTTCAGACTATACTTTAATTAAAAAAAACAAACAACGTACACTTCTCCAGAGGACGGCCTAGAGACCCTGGGGAGAAATCTGACAGGGAAGGGCCACCCTAAAGTGCTCTGGAAGTTCACTACTGGGCAGATAGAATGTCAGTCTTGGAGCAGAGCGTGGGATTCCAGACATTGAGAGAAGCTACTGGATGCTCTCTTCGGCAGCACATACACTAACACTGGAACGAGACAGCGAAGATCAGCACGGCCCCTGTGCAAGGGTGACATGCCAATTCATGACGCGTCCCCTATTTTTTTTATTATTTTGCTGCTGTTTGCTTAGTGTATTTCTAAGACTAAACCTTTTAAAAGAAGGTGACAATTTCTGAGGAGTTTCACTTTTACAATAAAATTGAGAGGAAACTACATAGTTTTTCTCTAAACTCCCCTGTCCCACAACTTACATAATCTTCTCCATTACCCATGTGACTCATCAGAATGCCATCGTTTTGGCCAAGTGCAAATTTAAGCTGATGTATCCTGATTACCTGAATTGGGATTCACTCTGAGGTCTGTGCATTCTGTGGATTTGAATAAATGCATAATAACATGGGAAAAAAAAAAAAAGCAGCGGCAGCTACTGGAAGCTTGGCACTTAACCCAGGTTCTGAAGATGATGGCCTGATATTTGATCCCCACCTGGATTGCAGGCTCTGGAAGAAGTCTGCTGTCTGCATCTGAGCAAGAGAGCACCAGGCATGGTGTGGGCAGGTGCCTAGTGAACGTTTATCAGTGCTGACCGCAAGGGCTGGGGAGAGGATGGGAGAGTCTGGTAGGGAGCCCAGGGACTGGAGTGGCCCCCGTGACAGGCAGGGGGCTGGGGTGGTATTGAGAAATACCCGCGCCCTGGCTGGTCCTGAGCCCTGGGTCCAGGTGTCTTCAGCTCTGGGCCTCCGTCTCTGGATGACCTTCCTGCCCTCACCTCAGGAGGATAAGGGATAAAAGACAGAGCAAGGGAAAGAGAGGAGACAGCAAGGATGTGAGGGCAATTAAGGGCAAGGAGCTAAGGGCCAGGGGCCTCCATCCAGGGACACAGTCCCAGAGAGCGGAGATAGGAAACAGTCGTACTGGGCTTCCATTGACAAAGCAGTTTGCCACAGTGTATGCATCTCCTGAAGCCCAGGAAGTCTGTAGCGGTGGTGAAGGTGGGCTCCCTTCAGATTTGCTGACTCCAAAGCCCTATTCTTTCCCCCTAAGAATACGGGGGGATTTGAAGATTTAGAGCAGAAGCCAATGAAGGGGCTTCCGAAAGACTCGAGAAGGGTGGATGTTCTAGATTTTTGAGACTTCTTGCTGTATTCAGTTATTAATGAAGGTTCAGTTAGAAGAAATTGCCAAGTAGGAGAGAGTCAACATTCCGTTGCTGAGATGGGGATCTGAGGTACAGCAAGGGAAGGGGAAGGGAGAGAAGACAGCCGGGATGGAAAATGGGGGATGACTAAGGAGCTACGGCTGAAAGCGGCCAAGAGCCCCGGAAGGCAAGGTTGAGAACCTTAAAACTTCCTTTGCTTGGAGACATGGGTGTGGGGAGAAGGGAGGAGGGAGGACATTTCTATCTCGTGACAAAAGAAAGTCACACAATTGTTTTGTTCTCTGCTTTGGGGCGGGTGGGCGCCTCCGTATTTACCAGAGGGACTGAGGTCGCTGTGGCAACCACACATCTGGGCCCCGGAATCCAGATGTGCTGTATCCAGAAGCCATAGCAGAACGATGAGGCAAACCCTAGGCTCCCCAGTCCTGGCCCCCACAGCTGGGAAGAGGACAGAGGGTTGGAGTGAGGAAGTGAAGGGAGAAGGGGGAGGAAGGAGCAGAGGGCTGAGGCGGGGAGGAGAGAGGAAGTCATTGCAAGGGACAGGAATGCAGACTAGAGGAACACAGGGGGGCTGGCACGGGAAGGGAGGAGGAAGCAAGGGTCAGGCAGGAGAAGAGCAGACCAAGAAAGAGAAAGGAAGGGAGAGTGAGGGGGAGGTGGAAGGGGGAAGACTACAGGGCAGGGAGCAGAACGATGCACCCAGAATAAAGGTCAAGAAGAGAAGTGGCCTTGTGGCGGGGAAGAGGGCGAAGCAAAGGAGGAAGGATGTCCAGAGCCCAAGGAAGGGAGGGACTGGTCAGGGTGATAAGGAAGGAAATCAGCCAAGAGAAGGACAGGCCTGAGGCCGGAGGCAGGAGATACCTGTGACTGTGGCAGGTTTGCTGGCCTGGGCGGCAGAGTTGGGCTGGGGGTGCACAGGGGTCTGCAGGGTGCAGCCCGAGGCTGGTGCACCTAGCCCCACCACCCCCTGCATCACCCCTCCTCGTGCTGCTTTCCTTCCTCACGTCATCCTGCCCCGTCCCTCCCTTGTCCCTCACCTCTACCCTCATTCTCCACACTCCTCCTGCCCCTTCCCACCAACCCACTCCCTAGACCAAGGGTCCAACTCCCAGTTCACAGCAAAGCGCCAAGCTCCCTGACACCAAGCCAGAGGCAGTGCATGTCCCCCAGAAACGCCAGCACCTCAAGCATTTTCCTGTGCTAGAACTGGGCAAAGGCAATGGGACAATGAGACAGGGGCTGACCCAGAGGGAAAAGAAGCTGCAAGGAGAAAAGGGCACCAGAGATGGAGGAAGGAGCAGAGGAAGAGGGGCCCCTACTAGGCCAGCACGTGAGCACCTTCCGTCCTCGCATCAACCCGGAAGCGGTGGGAGTCTCCACCTCACAGGAAACTCAGGCTGTGCTTGAGGGACACCCCTTGATAAAAGGCAAAGCAGGGGATCACTCAGCCATCCGCCTCCCACAGCCTTGTTTCCTTCGCACTCCCCGCCTGGATCAGGCTCAAGGGACCTCGGGACAGGAAGCACTGGCTGAGGAGCCAGGGCTGCCCCCTGGAGGGAGGAGAGGCCTAGTTCCTGGGAGCCCTCGTTCCAAGTTGCCATAGTTACTTGGTCTGTTTTCACCCCAAACACAGTAATGGGGAAGGGGGAGCCTGGCTGGACACATGAGGTTCTTCCCCCCTCCTTCAGGCCTGGGCTTGTGGCCCGGGTGGCCCCTGTCCAGTCATCTGGGCGTAGTGCCCTGGCCCGGCCCACACCCTCCAGCTGACCCAGGACACTCCTGCAAGGGCCAGGCCCAAAGCACCGCTGGACAGGAGCTGCGATGGGGATCCCCCCAGGTTGAATGAGACTCAAGCCGAGCCCCTCACCCTGTCCTGCGCCACTTCTCCCTAATCAGGAAGCAGTCGGACCTGCTCTCGCCCTGTTCTTCTAGCTGGATTCGGAGCTGAGCTGGGAAGATGCTCCTCAGCGCCCCTTCCCTCCCAGTACCCCGTGCTCCACTGGTGCCCCTCCTTTCTGGGCTCGTAGCCCTCTGGCCCGCTCTGTTGTTTGTTTGAGCTGTTCCTCCTGGAAAGTGAGGGAGGGTGGGAGAACCTGCTAGAGTGCAGAAGACCCAGGGAGGCTGTTCACCCTCAAGGGCGTGGGGCCCCCTGTCCTTCCTGTTTACTCAGACACACTCTAGGGATCTGCAGGCTTCGGCCTGTCACGCCACGGGCACCCCCGCCCCGACCCCCCTGCCAGACACAGACATACTCCAGCACTGTGGGGGGGGGGGTGGAGGGGCGGGGGTGACACGAGGTGGCACACCCACCCCGCCCAGGGCCGGCAGTCTGCAGTGCCCAGTTCTTTGACACCAGCCCTACAGAAGTCACTTTCCCCCAAACGCCCCCTCATGAGCGGAAGGCAGCCACAGTTCCTTTAACTCCCTCCAAGTTGTTTATTTAATAATAAAAAAGAAGGTGTACACACACAGAAACCTGGTTTCTCTCTGCGACTCCTGGCTCCTTGCAGCTAGCTCCACAATGTAAAAATCTCCCTGTCCCACCCGGGGACTGAATTCCCACCCACCTCCACCCCCCAAACAGAAAAACAAAAGATTAGAGTGTGTACCCTAAAATTTAACCACAATAGCCTCAAAGGAAGAAACAGGGACTGGAGGTTCACAGAAATGAGAGGAGCCTTATGTTCCAAAAGAGGGTGAAATGAGGGTGAACCCCCCTCACCACCAAGTAAGTGCTTAGCCCCACACCCTCTTTCCTTTACTAAGTGCCCCAAGCTTAGGAATCAGGGAAATCAGAAAGAGCCCCACCTGCCCCCCCTCCCACCCCCCAGCTGAGTCAGTGTGAGTCTAGAGGTCAGGGGTGATTGAGGTAGAGGGGCTGGCGAGCCGCCCGCGGGACCTGGCTGGCTGCAGAAGCTGGCAAGGGGCCACCAGTGGCATTGCCGGGGGTCGAGGACGGCTGTTTTCGGAGTGAGGGGGGCACTGTGGAGGTCTTGATGTGAATCACTCTGGTGTCCATGACCTCGCACTCGATCTGCATCATCTCCTCATAGTCCCCTGGGGGACCCCGGCCTGACAGGGTTTCTGTGGGAAGGGGAGTACAGCAGCAGGGAGGACAGGCAGGGAAGAGGGCCAGAGATGTGAGGGTGAGCAGGGATGAAAAGGTCATGGTGGGACAGATGTCACAGGAGAGAACACAAAAGAGAAAAAAATGGAGTCACCAAGTTCCCATCAGCCCTCTGCCTAGCACCCACCCAAGCCCCTTCAGTGAGGGAGGACCCTGGCCTCGTCCTCCCTGCCGCAGTTCCCTGCATCCACGTCTCCCCACCGCTTCCCGCTTCTCTCACCTCATCTGGGTCTCTCAAGGCTCCACTCCTCTCCCCAGCTCTCTCCCAACAGCTGTGCTGCCTCTCCCTAGTAGAAGTCCCCCCTTCCTCGACTTCAGGACCTCACCCTGCACCCCACAGGGAAAGAATTACCATTGGGGGCCATGGCGGGCATCACCAGGGACATCTTAGGCCGTGAGGTCTTGTTGTGGCTGATGGCTGGGAGCAGCAAGTGGTCCTAGGAAACAGGGTCAGGCCGGGAGGGTCAGAGAGTGCTGCCAGCCCTGTCCCTGGCCCGACCCCACAGCCTCAGCCTGAAGACAGACACTGCTGGGATGCCCAGGCTGACAGGATGGGGCGGGGAGGCGGAACTCACCCTTCGGAAAGAGACGACATAAAACGTGTCTTCCCGTCTGTCAATTGCATCCAGAAATTCTGGCTGTGAACGGTCTGGGTGGCGATACAGCTGCAGCTGACCCAAAGAATCCCTGTGCAGGTAGGGAAACAGGATGTGGGAGGGACTAAACCCAGAGTCCAGGTCACACCGGGGGCGGGGAAAGAAGATGAAGGAAGAAGAGACAGGACACCCCATGCATAGAGAGAGAGGCCAAGGCAGAGGCGACCAGCAAGGACAGCTCAGTCAAGAGGAGCCCCTGCAGATAAGCATCCCCTACTCACCTTCCTGGGGGACCCGGGGGCTGGGTGGGGACTGCCTTAACTGGAGGTGGCTTCTTCCGCAGCTGAGACTTCTGGAAGGAGAAGTATCTAAGGATTTGAAGAGGGTGAAGGGAAAGGGAGCGACAGACGGCCCCTGGAAGTTGGCACCACTCACACCTACCCTCCACTGCCCACAATCGCTCAGACCTCCGTGAGCCGTCCATTCCCAGCCCCCAAGACTCTGAGCCCCTGGCTTCAGTGGCCCTCCTTAAGCCAGCGTCCCCTACCTGTCGCTCCTGGGCCCTCTGGGGTATCTTCCGCCGGCCTCTCTGGTGGCGCTGGACCCAGCCACTCAGCTCATCAGCAAGCCTGGGGAAGCAGAGAAAGGGGTAACATCTCTGGGCTGGGCCAAAACCCCCCCACGTTCTTCACCCCCACAGGAGGGAGAAGAGAGGCAGTGAGAGCTGGCGCACGACAGCCAGGCTGTCTGTGGAGGGCCGTGGAGAGACAGGGAAGAAGCGCCAGCTGGGACTCTCCACACCTCAGGGATTCGGTTCGGTTGAAGTGCCGGCAGTCAGAGGCGAGGAAGAGCTGGTCCAGGTCCCTTAGCAGCAGCTCCTTGGAGCCCCCGGGGAAGGCCGTCAGGTTCCTGGGATACGCAGGGGGAGGCAATGACCGGACAATGGAGAAGGTAGTGATGGCAAGAGAGCGACTCTGGCTCTTCTCGAAAAGAAAAGGTAACTTTCAGGGATTACACACCCTCAGCACCCCCAAGAGAGCAGGTGCTCTTCTCACCTGAAACTTGGCCGGCCCGTGGGACTGAGCTGGGGCTCCTGGGGGACCTGGGAAGAGCCCTGCAAGGCCTCAACTCCGTGAACCGGCTCTTGCGCAGAGAACTCAAGCAGGTGTCGCCTCGGCCTCGGCTCCTCCCCGCTGGCGCGAGACGAGGTAGGAGCCAGAGGCGGCTCGCTGATGCTGCGGTTAAGGACAGAGCATGAAGAGAAATCACAGCTTCATCAGGGGCTGTTTAAGAGCAAGGGCTCTGCAGAGGGCCTGCCTGGGCTCCGGTCTGTTCATCTGTCAGGTGCGAGTGAGAGTAGCGCCGAAGGAAGGAAGAGGGGCCAGGAAACATGAGGCAGGAGACAGCCTGACCTGGAGCCTAACCCAGCAAGTACTTACTGATCAGCACTTTTTTTTTTTTAAAGATTTATTTATTGGCCCTCCCTGGTGGCGTAGTGGGTTAAAGCGCAGTACTAAGAAGCTAAAGCCACTTCCGTATGAGTTCGATCCCTGCCTGCCCCGAAGGTAACCCACAGCAGACCTCTCCTGACCCGCCCACTGCTCCCCTCAGCAGTGGACTTTGTCAGTCTGCCTGTTTTGCCCCCCACTCTCTCTGGCGAATCCTCTCACTGCCCTTGCACCACTGGCCTGTACCCCAGTTCTGTATGCATAAATAAACTTATTTATGGGGTACAGGTCAGCGGTGCAGAGGGTGAGAGGATTCACCAGAGACAGAATGGGGAGCAAAACAGGCAGATGGACTGAAATACACTGCTGAGGGGAGCAGTGGGCAGGTCAGGAGAGGTCTGCTGCATGATGTGGGTCAGCTCTGGCCGGGGATCGAACTGGTGCTGCAGTGGCTGTGGACAGCTTCACAGTGCTGCACTTTAACCTGTTGTGCCACCAGGGAGGGCCCTGATGAGTATTTTTTTAAAGATTTATTTATTTATGCATACAAGAACTGGGGTATAGGCCAGAGGTGTGTGTGAGGGGAGTGAGAGGATTCACCAGAGACAGAGTGGGGAGCAAACAGATGGATCTACTGAAATACACTGCTGAGGCAAACAGCAGGTGGGCAAGGAGCGGTCTGCTGAGCCATGTGGGTCAGCTCTCTGGCCGGAGATGGAACCCATGGTGCACTGGATGTGGACCTGATAGCTTCATAGCTTCCTAGTGCTGACTTAACCCCTTGCGCCATCAGGGAGGGCCACTGATCACCATTTTTAACAATGTTATCATCCTCTACATCAGGACATACTATTTATGAGAGAGATGATGGGACAAGATGGTCAGGATGGCTACAAACTGGCGCTAAGGTCCCCCACCTGGCTGTCCATACGTAAGTGGGGAGATCGGGCAGCTGTGAGGGTGGGCTCCACCTGGAAGGTTCTGGGGAGGTAGGAAGGTCTCACCTGACAGGCCCAAAGTTGAAGGCAATGAACAGAAGGAAGACCATGATGCAGACCACCTTCCTGTTTCCGGACCCTAGCTTGAGCTCGCTGTTCTAAGGGGCAGAAGAAACCGAGGGAGTGAGCCCCCTATTCTTTAAGGGCCTCCTGTCCCCGCAGGCCTCCCTAGGCGCAGCTGACCTCAGACAGGAGCACCTCCAGCCGCCGCCGGAGGGCAGCGTTCTCCCGGCGCAGCTGCTGGTTGTCAGCCAGCACCGCCTGCAGCCGCGCCTCCAGCCCCTGAAGATACTCCTTCTTCTTCCTCCGCGACTGGCAGGCTGACTCCCGGTTCTTGATCATTCGCTGCTGCCGCTTCAGCAGCTTTGCCTAGGCGCCCAGAGGGTCAGAAGGAGAATGAAGGGTGGCTGAGGGGGAGAGCGTGTCCCCAGCTCCAGGGACCCATTCCAAGGCTCACAAGTCACTCGGGCTTTCCTGACGGCTACCCCACAGTCAGAGCCAGAGCGGTTTTTCTTCACTACTGAAACATTTCAGGGAAGGAAGCCTGTCAGCCAATCCCTGCTCCTCTTTCTCACATCTAAGGGAAGTTAGACTGCAGAAAGAACTTCCTTCAGCCTGGTTCCTGGAGAAACCTCAGTTCCTTTCCTGGGTAGAGTCTTCTTCCTTCTCAATTCTCCTTTCTAGAGCACGGAGTTTAATGTTGCTGTGATTACACAACAGTTTACGTGGTGCTCCCACAGGAAGCAGCCTGCCTCTTGCAACACAACCCTCACATATGGCTCCCCTGCCTTGATTTACTGAGCCCACCCCAACCCCTCCGCCTACAGTGATGGCAAAGAGTACCCGCGTCTAAGCCAGGGTCCACTCTGCCCTTCAGGTCAGGGTGCTCCCTCATGTGTTGCCCAGCTCTCTGCCATGACAGATTTTCCTCTTCTCTTCCCAATTGGTCCTACTCCTCCCCCCAGGCCCTGCCCTGCCACCCCATACTCACATCCACTTCAGGGGGGCAGGCGTTCCCAGGCATAGGAGCTGGAACAATGCTCTTCCTCTCAGGCCGAGGAGCAGCGGGGTTTGGCCCCTCAGGCTGGACCTGGATAGCACCTTGGATGAGGACAACTGGAGACACTGGGCATGTAAGCAAGGGGAGGTGGTCAGAGCACTTACATCAGGCGGGTGTTTTAGCCACACCCACACTCAGGCACCCAAGGGTTGAGTCCCTCAATAGTGGAGGGCTCCAGGTAAGTCAATCCAGCCCTTCTCCTTCAGTACCTGGGGGCGGCTGGACAAGAGGCTGCAAAAGGACAGTGGTGCTGGAAGGCACAGCCCTGGGTGGCAGAGGGACAGTGGTTATCACCACAGGTTTGGGCTGCAGTGCTGGCTTCCGGGAGGGCAGGGCTTTGCCTGAAGGAAAAGAAAAGGAAGGCGGGACTGTGGAGAGTGTAAAACCTTTTGCCGGGTTTCCCAGGTGTGGGAGCCTGGGAATTACCTGAGGAGCCACCAGGGGGCAGGTTCCAATTACCTGAGGAGCCATCAGAGGACGGGCCCATGCTGATCTGGACAGCTCCAAGGGGGGGACCTGGGACATCCCACAGGAGACACCCTTGAGGGGATGGGGACTCTGTCTTCACTTCCAGTACCTCTTCCCCTATGAAAGCCTATGTGGGGCATTCCAGAGACAGGTGAGTCAGGGAGAGCCTGAGGAGCAGCTGAAGGAGAGAAAGCTGCCATACCTTTGAGAGTCGGGAGGAACTCTGGTATGCCTGCAAGGAGGCAGACTGGCCGATGCTCACCTGGTTGGGGGACTCTGCTGAGAGCAGGGAAGCCTCGGAGTTGATGGAAGAACATGGAGAGACGGGTTCTACCTTAGTCTGGACATCTGGGGGTGGCAGGATGAAACAAAAAGCTGGGTATCAGATAGACACTGGAGAAAAGGCTTAAGGCGGGGAAGTTGGAGACACAGTCATTTCTCCTTGCGCCCAAAAGGTCCTAGGAAGGAGGTGCAGAAGGAGAAGCCATGGAGCTGCTGGTCTCCTCTAGCCTCTTTTTTTTTTTTTAAAGATTTATTTATACATACAAGAACTGGGGTACAGGCCAGAGGTGCAGGTGTGAGAAGATTCACCAGAGGCAGAGTGGGGAGCAGAACAGCAGATCCACTGAAATACACTGCTGAGGGGAGCAGTGAGCAGGCGGGTCAGGAAAGGTCTGCTGTGGGTCAGGTCCCTGGCCAGGGATCAAACTTGTGCTGCAGTGGCTGCGACAGCTTCATAGTGCTGCACTTTAACCCGCTGCACCACTAGGGAGGGCCCCTCCTCTGGCCTCTTAACTTCCTTTATTTTCATGGCTCCTTTCAAAATTTTTTGCACCACTGCTCAGTTTTCCTCAAGGCTTTTGCTATTCTCCTTTTTTCCTCAGAGACCTTGTCCATCTGCAAAGAAGAGGCCCTGACAAGGGGGGCCTGTCTGCAGCATTCATACAGCCCCACGCCCCTAACTTGCTGGATCGCACCTCATCCTAGCCCGGGGCGATCACAGAGCTCCATGCTGACCACGCCAACTCTGCACCTCAACCCTTGCTGCTCCCCAAGCTATCTGCTGGTCACTTTCACTCGCACCTAAATTCAACTGGCCTTAAGCAGGGCTCACCCTTCCTCCCCTCAGCACCAAACTCCGGCAGCTCTGTGCCGTCATGGGCGATGCTGTTGTAAGACCTGCTGGTCACCATGTAGGTAAAACAAAACCCATCCAAGGCCCAGCTTCTGCCCCAGGCACATGTGGTAGTATACATTTGGTAGGAGATTGTCTAATTCCAATATTTCTATTTGAAAATGTCAAACCAATTTCTAGTTCTGAATAGGTAATATGGTATAAAAATCCCAAAACACAGGGCCTCTCTAGTGGCACAGGGTTTAAAGACACAGCACTATCAAGCCACTGTGACATGGCCCGAGTTAGATCCAGGCCAGGAGCTGACCCGCATGGCCCAGCACACCACTCCTGTCTTACCCCCTGCTCTCCTCAGTAGATCTGCCTGTTCTGCTCCCTACTCCATCACTGGTGAATCCTCTCACCCCTATCACACACACCTCTGGCCTATACTCCACTTGTTGTATGCATAAATAAAAATAAATCTTTAGAAAACAAAAACCGAAAAAAACAAAGGGAAAGTTGGTGAAAAGTGAATCTCTTTCACCGTCCACCCATCACTCAGGTCCCCTTCCTCCTCAGAGGCGACCACTATTTGAACTTTAAATCATCTGTTAGGACTCTCCTAAGATTCCCCCAAAACAAGGATTATGCCTGGTGCTTCATGCCTATCAAAGTGATGGGTAAAGTACAGGTCCTCAAAAAACACCCAAATAGGCCCTCCCTGGTGGCGCAAGGGGTCGAAGTGCAGCACTGTGGGGCTGTCCTCAGCCACTGCAGCATGAACTTTATTCCCGGCCATTAAGCTGACCCACATGGCTAGCAGACCTCTCCTGGCCCACCCACTTCTCCCCTCAGCAGTGTATTTCAGGAGACCTGCCTGTTCTGCAGGCATTGTCTCTGGTGAACCCTCTCACCCCCACACCTCTCACCTGCACCCCAGTTCTTATATGCACCAATAAAATCTTAAAAAAAAAAAAACCCACAAAACACCCAAATATGAGCCTCCCTGATGGGGCAGGGTTTAAAGACACAGCATTATCAATCTATCACCAGCCACTGCAGCACAAGATCCATCCCCAGCCAGGGAGCTGACCCACATGGCACATTACTTCTCCTGGCCTGCCCGCTGCTCCACTCAGCAGTGTATTTTAGGAGATCTACCTGTTCTGCTCCTCACTGTCTCTGGTGAATCCTCTCACCCCCACAGTTCTGGCCTGTACCCCAGTTCTTATATGCATAAATAAATAAAATCTTTTAAAAAAAAGCAAAAAACACCCAAATAGGGGTCTTCCTGGGGGCACAGGGTTTAAAGACACAGCACTATCAAACTATCAAACCAGCCACTGCAGCATAAATTCCATCTCAGCCAGGGCGCTGACCCACATGGCACAGCAGACCTCTCCTGTCTCACCCACTGTGCCCCTCAGCAGTGTATTTCAGTACATCTGTCTGTTTTGCTCCCTACTATGTCTCTGGTGAGTCCTTTACACCCACACCTCTGGCCTACACCCCAGTTCTTGTATACATAAGTAAATAAATCTTTTAAAAAACACCCAAAAAGCAGGGGAAAGCTGATTTTAGTAACCCTAGCTTTTGCATAATTGACATCAATCTTTTTTGCTGTTAAAAGACTTTCAATCCTTATTTTGTTTGCCCTCTTTTTAACTTTTGATAGTGTACTAGATCTGATCTGCTTGTCCCTCCAAATCCACTCTTCGCCTTCTCCTGACCTGCTCCGAAGCCTGAGAGGAAAACATGCATGGATTGCCTCACTGGGCTCCCTTGCCTTTCAGCTTCTGGGTGAAGTTTAACCAAAGTGAGGCCATGCCAGGATACCCAAAAGGTATTTTACATCACAAGCCCAACTCATCACCAACCCCGGTTCCTCTTACAATCCCTACCCAGCAAATGGTAACCCCCAACCTGGTCAGAAACCCCAGAAGCCCAGGCCTTCCCTCCCACCCCTCCCCCAGTGCCCAGGGGTCACTGCAACTTGTCCATTCTACTTCCTCCCTTCTGACTTCATGGCGTCCAAACATCTTTCCTTTTTCACTATTTAAATTACATTTTAATGAAAGTGTAAATTCCCACCACCTTTAAATAAAAATGACTTGCATTTTTAATCTGACACTGCTCTGGCATTAGGTCTTAATTGCCTTGTGGTGCAGAGTTACCCCACTACTAATTTCCCAGTGCTCTTGAGACACATGTTACTATGTCCTCTGGAGGAAGTCCTTGTGGTAATTTCTCATAAAATATTTAACTACTTTCAGTTTTGCATTCACTGAAGGGATAGTCTTATGAACTAGAGGAATAAGTGCAGTTTATAATCCAAACATCTTTATTACATCTTTTTCCCAATGGCCATATTTTTTACACTTTTTATTCTGGTAACAATTTGCAATTTATGAGGCTGCTGCTGATCACCACCAAAGTTTTCATGAGCTGCAGGTGGAGGCTGAGCCACTATAATTGGAACTTTATTAGACTTGGTAAATTTGTGACGAATTCTATCTGTACAAATGAGACTCCACACCTGCTGTCTGTCACCATCTGTAGTCTGCCTGCAGGTCCCTGAACTGCTGAGTGAGAAGTCCCTGCCATGTATGATGACAGTTCTCTTTAGAGGCGACAATTCTTAAGCAGTGAGACTGAACTTATGCAAGGAGGTGAAGTTGGGCAGGACCACTGAGAGCAACACTTGAATCTGCTGTTCGAATCCTGCTGTCACAGGACGCATGCCACCTGCGAACTCTAACCCAAATACCTTATTTTACTGACTATGTGGGCCACTTCCTCGGTCCTCCAGCTCCTGCCTTGGAGTTTTGCCTCTCTGCAGCCACCAGAGTCATCTTCCTAATCACACTGCTGTACTGCTTGGCCCCTTAACCCACAGGACAAAAGCTAGGCGTCCCCTAGCAGAGTCGCCACCTGGTCCTGCAGGCTGTGCGGCTGCCTGCCGTCCCCAACCCCTTCTCACATCCACTCTGGAGAGATGCAGGTTCTTAACACCCACACGCCAGTCACCACATTCTTCTGGCTAATTTCTACATTCAAAACTCAGCTCAGGAAGCCCTTCTTCCAGAAGCGCATCCCTCATCCAGCCCCTACTGAGTAACATGCCCCCTGCAAGTGCTTTCACGGCTCTCTGTGATCACCTCTATGCTAGAATGACCACACCTGTGCTGACTGGTACCTGTCTTCCCCCCACCATCCTTGTTTCCCATATTTGCACCCCCAGCATCCTGTCCAGTATCTGGCATGGAGTGGTGCTCAGTAAATGTTTACTGAATAAACACATCTGAGTATTTAAACTTAATGACACTTAAAAATAGCACAAATAGGCCCTCCCTGGTGGCGCAGCGGGTTAAAGCACTGCACTGAGAAGCTAAAGCCACTTCTGCATGAGTTCGACTCCCGCCTGTCCCAGAGGTGACCACATGGCGTGGCAGACCTCTCCTGACCCACCCGCTGCTCCCCTCAGCAGTGTACTTCATCGATCTGCCTGTTCTGCTCCCCAATCTGTCTCTGGTGAAGCCTCTCACCGCCCCTAAGCCTCTGGCCTGTACCCCACTTCTGTATGTACAAATAAATAAATCTTTAAAAAAAAAAAGGCTTATTAAAAAAAAAATAGCACAAATAGGACCCTTCCTGGTGGCGCAGCAGGTTAAAGCACAGCACTAAGAAGTTTAAGCCACTTCCGCATGAGTTTGATTCCCGCCTGCCCTGGAGGAGATCCACATGGCGTGGCAGACCTCTCCTGACCCGCCCACTGCTCCCCTCAGCAGTGTACTTCTTCGATCTGCCTGTTCTGCTCCCCATTCTGTCTCTGGTGAATCCTCTCACCCTCCGCATCTCTGGCGTGTACCCCAGTTCTATATGAATAAATAAATCTTTAAAAAAAATAGCACAAATAATGTTAGTTGTAGAATCAGGAGTTGAATAAATGGTATTGTGATTTTTCCATATGTTTGAATTTTTTTTGGTATACATTTACAACAAGCCCACATTTACTTTCAAATAACACATTTTCATGGGTACTGCAAATACCTTATAATAGCAAACTACTCCTAATTCTCCCTCCTGTCTCTTGTATCACTGATGTCACTAATTTTACTTACACATAATTATACTAAGTGTATATATGCACATTCAGTATCACAACTAAATACATACTATTATTTTGAAACAACTATTATGTTAGATCAATTAGGAATAAGAAAAGTAAAAGCTTTATTTTACCTTTACTTGCATTTCCTTTTTGATGATCTTCCTTTCTTTACTTAGAGTCAAGTTTCTTTTAATAATTTTGAGATTTTATAATTTGGAAAATTTTTATAATCTAACAAGAGGTTGAATAAAAGTAACACAAATAATATGCCTGAAATGTCTACAAATTTTTTTTTGATGCAAAGCAGGGCCTCCCTGGTGGTACAGAAGTTAAAGTCTCAGTGTTATTAAGCTATTGGCAGCCACTGCCGCATGAGATCAATCCCCAGCCAGGGAACTGACCCACATGACACAGCAGACCTCTCCTGTCTCACCCCTGCTCCCCTCAGCAATATATTTCAGTAGATCTGCCTGTTCTGCTCCCACTCTGGTGAATCTTCTCACATCCCCCCACCTCCACCTCTGGCCTACATCCCAGTTCTTGTATGCATAAATGAATAAAAATAAATCTTTAAAAATAAATGCAAAGCAACAGAAGGTTAAATCACACAACAGGAGAGGCCCTCCCTGGTGGCACAACAGGTTGGAGCAAAGCACTTAAGATCTCTGTGCAGCCACTACAGCACAAGTTTGATTCCGGACCAGGGAGCTCACCCACATGGCATGGCAGACCCTGCCTGACCCACCCGCTGCTCCTCTCAGCAGTGTAATTCAGTAGATCTGCCTGTTCTGCTCCCCATTCTGTCTCTGGTAAACCCTCTCACCCCCATACCTCTGCTCTAGTTCATGTATACATAAATAAATATATCGTTTAAAAAATAATAAATCATATAACATGATACTTAGAACAAGAAATAGAAAGAAAGACCATCCCCATCTTTAGTGCTCAGCGTGGTTTCCTATTATCCCCCCAACTTCTCCTGGTTATCTGCCATTTCCCCTCCCACTTTTCCCTCCTGTCCCACTGCCTACACCCCCTGCCCTGACTACCCATAACCACACACACTCTGCTCTGATAGAACAGTGGCTGGCCGCTCATACCTGTGGGATCATCAGAGCTGGGGCCCACATTGATCTGGACAGTTTCAAATGGCAATGTTGGATCATCTCCCAGGAGGCAGAGGGGGGGTTCTAAGGACTCTGTCTTCACAACCAGCACATCTCCTGGGCCAGGAGTCTGGGTGAGAGTTGGGGTGAAGCAGAAGGGGTCAGAAAGTATGAAAATGAGGGAGGTGTTCAGAGTAAGAGCAAGAACAAAACCTTTACAGTTGACAAATCATCAGCATCTCCCTAAGCTGTATCTGGCCCCTTGTTCTTTGTACTTTATTCTTGGGAAAGTGGGTGAAGTCTCATAACTTCAAATATTGCCTTTGAGTAGACAACTTAGTCAAGAACAGTTACAGAATTAACTTCTCAGCCACACCACAGCTACCACATACATTAAAAAGACTTCATTTTCTTTCTAGACAACCAGAGTGGAGGTGTAGCAAATGAGGATATTAAAGAAATGGCAAAGGCAGAGAAGAAGCCCACATGACTCACAGCACCTCAAGCTGAAGGGAATGGAACAGAATCCCTGCCACAGAGAGCAGGACAGTGATGGCACCCACCTGGCTGGTAGGCTCTGTGGAAAGATGCGATGATTCTGAGCTGAGAGAGGAGGAAGAGCAGGGAGAGGATGGCTCAGACTTCACTTGAAGATCTGAAAAAAAGGGGGTTAGAAAGTTACCGAGGGGCTTCCCTGGTGACACAACTGGGTAAGCCGATGCACTATGAAGCTATCCGCTGCCACTGCAGCACAGATTCAATCCCCGGCATGGGAATGACCCACATGGTACAGCAGACCTCTCCTGACTGGCCCGCTGCTCCCCTCAGCAGTGTATTTCAGTCAATCTGCCTGTTCCACTCCCCACTCTGTCTCTGGTGAATCTTCTCACTCCTTCCCCGACCTCTGGCCTGCACTCCAGCTCTTACATGCACAAATAAATATTTAAAAGAAAGAAAAGAACCAGGAAACAGAGTCTGACAAGACTCCAAAAAGTATCCAAGGACTTGTGGGTGAGCACCCCTCACCATGACAACGGGGAAGAAACACATGTAAGAGGTTATAGACACTCAAGTGGAGAACAGAGATGACTGGGAAGTTATGTAGTTACTGGGAAACAACGGGACGATGAGGGCTTCGGGGAGGATGAAGGAGTCAAAGGATCTTACCTGGGAAGATAGGTAGGGAGTCCCATGGGGGCTCCGGGGGGCTGACATCCATCCCCACGTCCAAAGAGCTGCTGCCAAACTGAATAAGGAGGAATATTAGACTGCAGGAGTGAGAGGGGAAAGGGGTAGCTCCAGTGAGCTCTGTCCTGGGGATGAGTCCTGGTTCTGGGACCACTCCCACCCACCGAGACAAGGCTGGGGGAACAATACCGGTACATCTTGCTCAGGACAGCGGAAAAGTTGAGCCTGCTCCTCGGCCACTTCATCTAGGCCAGTGTACAAGGTGCTGTCTGCAAGAGATGCGGAGTGTGAGGGGGGTCGCGGCGAGGCAGCTTAGGGATCCACACTCGGGCCTCACCCCATTCCTCATTGGCTCGGCTCAGCCAGACCCACCGCCCGCCCACTTGAAAAGTGAAGCGTACAGCCAAAGAACTTCAGCCCCTCCCTCTCCGACCCCGGAACAAGTCGACGTTTCCGCATGGGGCGGAGGTCTTCCCCAACTCCTGCATCACCCCGAAAGCACAACGAAACCCCCTGCTCCGCCCTCCTTTGGATGATGGATTCCGTATTTGCCCAGCCTTCCTCTTTGGGCCTCTGCCTCCTTCCTGAGTGCCTCCGGGGCACTGTGCGCTACAGCCCTCTCCCCGCCCCAAGGCCTCACTCCGCAGACCCCAATCCTCCGGGCTCAGCAAGTTGTCGGTGAAGAAGCGCGTCGGGTCCGCAATCTCGCTGAGGAGCATCAGCTCCGCCATCTTTCCCCCCCCCCCCCCCCCAACCATGAGACAGTTCCCAAGGTCCGCCTCTCCCCATCAACTAATCGGTTGACTCTTGGAAAAAGCGGGGGCGTCCCGGAAGCCCTACGGACCAGTAAGAGAACTAGGTGCTGAGCACATGAATCAATAGAAGAGGCGGCTCTTTAGGCCGGGCCAATGGGAGCCCGGCAGGAGGAGGAAAGCGCTTCCCCGGTACCGGGGTGCCATCTGTGCGCATGCGCCAAGCCGGACGCGGCGCGGGAGCGCCTGGGAAATGTAGTTCCCAGCGTTTAAAGGCCCGCCACATGGCATGACTGGCTACTCCAAAATTAGAAGTTTAGGCAACTCCTGGATAACTTCAGAGATGGGTAAGCACCTCAAAACGTTGTACACGTCACCCGCATGGGTTTTTAATGAGAAAAAAGGAAAGAGGCGCACCGAGATCACTGCTACCTCCTCTAAGAATACAGAAGCTGGAAATGGGGTCTAGGATGAAACCCTCCCTCTCTCGTCACCCCCAGAATCTCACAGCACAGACCACAATTCACAGGCTCCTGTCTCTTTTAAGGTTTAGATTTTAATCAGCCAAACATCTTGCGCAGACCCTGAGCCAGCCTTTCATCCTGCTTTTTCGCCTTTATGATCACCTTTCCCAACTCCTCCCGGGCGGCCCGGTTTTGGGGGTCTAAGGCCAGCACCTTCTTGAGGTCAGCAGTTGCTTTTTCCAGGTTCCCAAGGGCAGCCTGGGCAACGCCTCTTCGGTACAAAGCCTTTAAATGGTCAGGTTCCAGCTCGAGCACCCGGTCACAGCTCTGGGCTGCCAAAAGGGGCAGTCCCAGCAGCAACTGACAGGCAGCCAGGTTGGCGTGAAGGGCAGTTCGTTCTGGAGAGCCAGGAGGGGGTAAAGTCAGCAGCAGCCGAAGAGCTCGTCCATAGCACCGGGCAGCCCCTTCAGGGTTGCCAGCTCTAAATAATTCTGTGCCCCTTGCACGCTCTTCCTTGGCCAGAGCCTCCTTTTCGCTGGCCTCTAGTTCCCAAGAGTCCCGCCCCGGAGTGAAGGAGGTCAGTGTGAGCTTGATAGGGGGCCCAGAGTGTCCAGGGAGCTGAAGTTCTGCCTCCTCGCCTTGACACATGGACTCCAAGCATTTCTCTATGAGCTCCCCCCAAGGTTCCTCCCTCCATGGACCTATCCCCACAGTTAGCTCTATCGAGCCCTCTGGCACCCCTGACCCAAAAGGAAGCCCGAAAACCAATACCCGGCAGACAGAGCCCAGCTTGGGTTTGTCCAAGCCTTGGCCACGGATTATTATCTTCTTGACAAAGCTCCCATCTGGACAGTGCCAAAGATCATAAGTTTGAAGGGACTCTGGCATCTCACTGGTTGATCGATGGAACTCATCAGGGTCTCCTTCAAATCCTGGAGCCAGTTCTCCAGTCCCTTGAGGATGCTCTAGAATTTGGCTGGCTGGATCTGGACTCAGTCGCGACTCAAGGCTTTCAGTAGGAGGAGTTTGGGGCTGCTGCCTAATCTGAGTAGTTGAATCAAGGTTCGTCGGGGATTCCCCCCCCCTAAATCGCGGCGGAGAGGTGTTCCTCTCTCCCACTGGATTGACTGCAGGCGTCTCCATTTTTCCACCCGATCCTTTCTTTCCACTGTGGGTAAACAACTTTGGCCGGAATAGGATGGACCAGGTTTAGATCAGCACCTTAAAAAGAAAAAAAATCAAGACAACGGCAATAGCAGTATTCTTATTTTTCTGTCTTCTGGGGCCCGGCCCTTAACATCCTATTGGTGGTTTTGTTTTTGTTTGTTTGTTTGTTTGTTCCTCCGAAATGCTGGGTCCTGCAGGCGACTCCGTCCCACCCCACCCCATGCAGAACTCGAATTTCCACAATTCGCTGCGGGTCGCGGAGCCGCCTCAACTACGGACACCCGATCGGGTCAAAACTATCCCAGCGGCCGAAGCGCCCTGCCTGGTAGCGCTGGCCGGAGCCTTGGGATCACCTCTCCTTCCGAAGCTAAGTGCTTACTGCGTACCGTCTTCGCAGTCTGGCTCCAGGAGATGAGGACGGTCGGGGGGGATCCAGGGGCAGCGGGGAGACACTGACAGCTCACCCAGGAGCCCGCGAGATAGCGAGTCGAGTCAAATTTCTGGCAGCCAATGGGGAGGAAGAAGTCTGGTTAGTGGCCCGCCTTTAGGCCGTGACTTCATCCCACCCCCACCCCGCCACCCGGAAGCTCTAAGCCTTAGCAACCGAACTGGGCCGTGTCGAACCCGTGGAGGCGACGTCTATGGAGAACCCGCGCGAATTGAGGCTGCAGGTGAAGGATACCCGCGGCCGGCCGGTCCTTGTACCTGCGATCTTAGGCACCGGTGCTATGCGTGTCCCGATGTTGGGGGGAACCCACCAGCACTGGGCTCCTTCGCCTTCTCTGTCCTGTTGCCGCAAGATAAATCCTCAGATTCTTCCTTCCCATCCGCCCCGCTCATTGGGGAACCACCTGAAGTGTCTTACATGTCCCCTCATCTTGGTCATTGCCTTTCAGTCTCTTCTCAAGAAAGTAGGTGATTTTCAAATGCCGATATGCACAAATACCATCTGGGAAGATGGTCAAGTTGCGTATTTTGATTTAGGAAGTCTGCAGTGAGGCCTGTAATTCTGCAAGTTTCCAGCAAGCTCCTGGATGATATGCTGTTGTTCAAACGGCCACACTTTGAAGATTCGAAATATTTTCTTCCCTTTCTCCTGGCTCTGTGGCCCTTCAGTTTGTCCTAACTATAGCTATAACTAGTATAACTAGTATAACCTGCTCCACTAGGTGTATGGGTGGAAAATTGGTCCTCTTCCTTCTAATAAAGATGTTGCTTCCTTTTGTGATTCAGCCCTGCTTGTCCAGCGCCCTGCATGGGCACAGCCATCACAGTTCTTCACGGAAGGAGAATTCCATGCAGCGCCTCACTTGGGTTTAGAGTTTGCCATTGCACCCCAGGCAACAAAGATATAGGAGGGCAGGGAGTTTCACCATTAGACACTTGTGTCAAAGCAGTCCTCACCCTGTTCTTGTGCTGTGCCTGTGGTCACTAGCCTAGACTTTTCCCCTCCAGTTTTATTTCTCAGTTCTGTGCCAGAGTAACTTTAGTCCTCTGCCATCATCTCTTCTCTCAGCTAAATACTGTGATTCTTGGAATTCCTAGGCTCCTGTTGAAACTTAATCCATCTTTTCTCCCTCCCTTTTCCCCTTTCCATTTCAGAAGTTTCTAAGAAAGGAAGTCTAGGTTACATTACACCCTAATTACCAAAGTTTGCTAATTTGTATTATGTGTGTCTTAACTGAGAGATCCACTTCAATGATCTTTCAAAGATCAGTTTCTCTCAAGTGTAAGAAACTGTACTGTGCTACAAATGTATTGCTTTGTAACATTCTGGTATTGCTTTGTGTGTATGTTTCAGTTCCAACAGACTCAGTTTCTTTTGTGTCTCATCTCTCCAGTCACTCATTTAACAAGTATTTATTGAGTACCTGCTGTGTTCCTGGCAACATGCTAGGAACTGGTGATATATAGATAAATAAGATAGAAACATTCCCTGCTCTCATGGAATTTGTGGTCCGTCTCCCCCAGAGGAAGGGCCATTATGTGGCATAAAGAAGTGTGAGCTCCTATGAGAGTGAAGGATTAGGGAATATTTCCTAAGGATGAGACATTTTTGCTGGCATTGAAAAAACTAGTTAGAAATTAATTTGGGGCCCTGCCTGGTGGTGCAACAGGTTAAAGCCCAGATTTAGGGAGCTGTCTGCAGCCAGTGCAGCACTGAGCTTGATCCCCAGACAGGGGGCTGACCCACATGACGTGGAAGACCTCTTCTGACCCACCTGCTGCTCCCCTCAGCAGTGTATTTCAGTAGATCTCTCCCCAGAGATCTGTAGATCTGTCTCTGGTGAATCCTCGCACCCCCCACACCTCTGGCCTGTACCCCAGTTCTTGTATGCATAAATAAATAAATCTTTAAAAAAGAAATTAATCCTGGGGGTAAGTGGAACTCAAAGACACCAGTAGAACCAAGTGAACACTGAAATAAATTAAATGGTTATCTGCCTCATTAGGCGATCTTTCTGAAGGAGAAAGTAAGTTGGGCATGCAGGCAGTCAGTTAGAGCCACTAGGGCCCCAGGCTGGAAACCGCATTCAGAAACAAGCTGAAATGAAGGACATTCTGTAGTTTGCTCCACACCACACAGCAACACCTGTGTGGGCCGAGGTTCGCCAGTTGGCCCCATCTGTGCATACCAGGAGCCAAATAGCCTCCGGCCAAGAAGACCCTGGCTTCCAGACTCCACAGATGGCCAGAATCAACTAGATGAGAACCTGTCTTGAAATTCTGCCAATCCTCAATCTCCGATGCCACCAGAACACTAACTCCTTTATTTAGAATAAAATATATAAATCCATGCTTCTTGCCCCTAGAGGCAATCTACCCACTGGGACCCCTGTCTGTTCAGAGGGCCTCCTGTCCTTATCTGACATTACATTTCTTGCTTTTCTGCCTGACTCTAGTCTCCAGGTTGAATTCTTTTCCTTGCCGAGACAAGAACTGAGCAGTCACCTTGGGGTCCAGCTCCCAGACTCCAGGCACAACTCACATTCACAGCTGTGATTATAAAAACAAACACAGGCACTGACACCCCGAAAAACACAATCCAAATCATGTAAAAAAGAAAATATTTTAACTTTTGAACTGAAAATATAAATTTAAGTTTTTTTTAAAAAGATTTATTTATACATACAGAACTGGGGTCCAGGCCAGAGGTGCAGGGGTGGTGAGAAGATTCACCAGAGACAGAGTGGGGAGCAGAACAGGCAGATCTACGAAGTCCACTGCTGAGGGGAGGAGTGGGCGGGTCAGGAGAGGTCTGCGGTGCCCTGTGGATCACCTTGGGGCGGGGATCGAACTCATGCTTTAGGGTCTTAGTGCTGTGCTTTAACCCCCTGCGCCACCAGGGAGGGCCTAAAATTTAAGTTTTATAGGAGGA